AAATTTTTAGAATGCTACAAAATATCTATTTAAACTAGTGTTTAATTATAAATTGCTTGATGGAGATGATGGTCGTCGTTTGGACTTTTGTTTAACAATGGGCGAGAAATTGAAAACATATTCTTTCATCACAATATTTTACTTACGGACGAATCAACATTCACAACTAATGGCGTGGTTCTCTCTCAAAATTGTAGATACTGGGGTAAATTGTTCAAAAAAATAAACGTGGTGTGGCATAACGTATTGTAAAATAATTGGTCCTTACTTTTTGGAAGAAAATCTTAATCAAAATTCGAATTTGGAAATTTTCAAATTTTTTTTTTTGGCAGAACTAGATAGCGCAAAAAATGACCGCAAAAAAAAACATTTTTCCGCCTGTTTTTGAGACTGACAGGGGCGACAGGGAAAATCCTAAAAATATCCAAATTTTCGTCATGAAAAATGAAAATGAGCATCACTTTCAGTTTTTCGAAAATTTCCGAAAATCACCCTTATTTAGAGGTTGAAAAGACAAAAAAAAGTGAACAAATTAAGAATCATCAACAGTTGTAAAACCCCAAATATTTTTATGTCGTTATCAAAATAATATTATGAACGTGAAAATATCTAATTTCGTATTTGATACGGTCTTGTCCGGATTGAAAATCAACTCTTAATAAACCATAAAGGGGTGAAATCATCCCCTAAACGCCTAAAAATGCAAAAATATATATTAAAAGTTACAATTTTTTTTCTTTTTCTTTTATACGTATATGGATGAACTTAGGGGTGTTTTTTACCTCATTTAGGGATATTTACCTTCGGATCTAGTGATTGTGGGTTATTAACGTATAAAAGAAAAAGAAAAAAAATTGTAACAATATATTTTTAGTATTTTTAGGCGTTTAGGGGATGATTTCACCCCTTTATGAATATTAAGGGTTGATTTTCAATCCGGACAAGACCGTATCAAATACGAAATTAGATATTTTCACGTTCATAATATTATTTTGATAACAACATAGAAATATTTGGGGTTTTACAACTGTTGATTAATTTATTCACTTTTTTTTGTCTTTTCAACCTCTAAATAAGGGTGATTTTCCAAAATTTTCGAAAAACTGACTACTTTTCAGGGTATTTTTATATTATATTAAATTTAAAATAAAAGTTTACAATTTTTTACAATTATTTCTATGCCGTCATACTTTATTATTTTCCCAATGAACTACTCTTCATCGTAAAATTTCGCAATATTTTTGTTCGGTTACTTCCGTTACTAATTTAGAAACACAATTTGTTTTAATGGTAAGATTTTTATTTTTATTGTTATTTTACCACAAATTTTCACTATGAACAAACTAGACTGTTTTTTCAACAGTACCTAGGTAGGTAAATGGAGGCAAAACAACAGAAGTTAGTCCGTATCTCTACGATGTTTTCACGAAAACTGAATGAAATATTTTTAATCAGACCATTTTATTTAAGTACTTTCAGTAATTTTAAAGAATAATTTTAAAAATCTTTGTACTCTATCAGGTAATTTTTTGTACTTTTTGTAATTTAATACGTACTTTTTGTAATTTTTGTAATTTACCAAGGAATTTGGTAATTTTTATACTTTAATAAATAATTTCTATACTTTTAAAGTAATTTTAAATTATAATAACTCAAACGTACACCAAAAATTACTTGTGGCACACCCCTCGGATTAATCAATTTCTACTTATGGCTAAATGACATTTCCCTCGATGTAGGCATACGAAGGGGTATTTTCACAAACGGGCAAACGAAACGACACCGTACACCCCTCGACATCCAGCGATAACCCGCACCAGTGAACATGCAGCAGATAAAGAACTGTTAAGCCTTCAATGAAAAACGGCCCCCATCCCGAAACCGTTCATTCCTGATGATAGCGTTTCAGAAAGCGGGCGTTGAACTACATATACGCCCCCTTGATAATATTTATCTTGAAACGCTGCCATCACGAAAAAATTCCCGACTCGCGGATTGCTACCGAATGAGTCGAATTTAATATAAATAAGTTTTACGGAGGCTCGGAACGATGCAGGTAACGTCACTCGAGCAAACGATGACCGAACAGTCGTAATGCCGATTTGCATATTTATTAGCAACAATTTATTGGGAATCTTCGCGGATTGCCACGTTGGTTGTTGAATTGACGCGAAATCGAAACATTGACACAAAATAAAATAGCAAGTAAAGCTTAAGTTGTCACAGACGTAAATTTCTGATATTCATTATGCCAGTAGCTGAATACGAAGTCGGTTCTCGTACCACGTTCAAAATGACGTAATATTCACAACATAATAGAAACTATATTTAGTTATTTCCCACATGGTAGGTATAATACGGTTTGCCTTGAAAGATATAAACTTACAATTAATAATTTCTATTATTTACCACAGAAGCCGTTTGCCTTGACGTTTCTCGACAAGAACGATTACAAAATACGTTTTTCTCAAATCGAACTCAAAAATGCAGGACAATTTCAAAAAAGTTCACAAATAAATGTTCTAACTATGATTACTGACATTTATGTACATATACATAGTATTTATATGAATATTTAAATTCATAACCATCATCATAAATACATTTCAATATTCTAACAATATACCAAAACATTTAAACAGCAGTGAAAGTACTTAGTGCGCGTATTGTTATTTAGTTTGCTTCAGAAGGTACATGATACGAGATCTAAAAATACGGTTCCGAGCATCTGCCTAAAAATTAACATACTTGTCTACACAAAAAAATAGTACTTACGGAATTATATTAAGTTCAATAATAATCGTTTTCAAACAAATGGCAAATACAACGAAATACTGTGGCGAAAGTTGCTCTATATAATATAGTGTGCTTTGCTTCCTTATTTTTTGTTTAACGATGTTTCCGGATGCTCTAGTTCTTTTGTGTTCTGAAGCTTAGAGCTTGTTCTATACTGTTCTTAGAAACCCATGGAAATTTCGAGAAACAACGAAAAATATATAAACGGAGTTTTTTTAAGGTTGTTACATTTTGTTATTGTTCAAACGTCAAAGTTTTCAGGAAATTTGGTACAATAGATATATACTTGCCGGAATAAAAAAAGTAGTAAAGGTTCTAAAATAAAAAAATTCAAGTTCAAAGAAAATGCCGAAGAACTTTTGCCAGAGATAATCGTTTTCGAATAAATTACGAAAACGACACGAATAGGAACAACAGATTTCAATCGTGAATTGAGTAGTCAGTAAATAAAAGTCTTTTAACCAAATTAAAACATGTTGGAAGATTACAGTTTAAAATCTTTAAAGATTGACAGAAATTGTTAGATACATCGTTGAAACTCCAAAAATATTCTCGATATAATTTATTAGAAGTGTTGCAAAAATTAGAAATTCCTCGGTATATTTCGCAAATTTCACCACTGTTACTAATTCCGACAAATTCATTTCTATTAAGTCTTCCTTTGTACACCGAGTCATAATGTCATTTATACAGTTTCCCAATAACTTCACTCGCCAGCAGATTTGTCACACTACAAATTATTTCCAATTTAAATATCAAGCCCTGGAAAACTATTAACCCCGAAACGTACTATTTAAATATTTATCAAAGGAAAAGACACCGACAGCTATAAATTTTTCGGGCAAAAATCATAAAACTAGTATGTAATGCAGTATATTTAATTGTCTGTCCGAAGTAGGTGAACAAAAACCTCTTCCTCGAGATAACAGAACGAAACGACTGTAGAAACCCCGTAAGAAATATCAATTACAATTACGGTACGGTTATATATCCGTTACAACTACAAAAAGGTGCTCAGCCTATAATTACGGAATAATTCTTGCGTTACAGGGTACAACGCATCTTCTTTTACGACAACGCGAAAACCAATAGTAAGATTAATTACCAAACCAGTTTACACAATGAATTTAATCAACAATAACAGGCCTTCCCACGTGTTAAGAACATATGCAAGGTAGATTTTTTAAGGAAAACGCATTTTAAACTGTACAGCTCAAAATACACATCGTTTTGAACATTTTAAATAATTTTTAGCCATCTACAATGAATGAAAAATGATTTAATCCATATTTTTCTTAATTGTAAGACATACATTTTAAATTTAAACAATTTACTACAATTCGGACTAGGTCTCCCGTAATAAAACAACAAACAAAATTAAACGAAAAAAAGACTAGAAAACCTATACTTAAGGCAGCATATCACCAACAGTCACTCAATTGCTAAGAATTGTTAACGACCTCGCGATTTGCGTCATTCAAACAGGCACAATAAAAGCATTACAGGATCCATATAACTTTATTGGCTGTCAAAAAGTAATCAAACCATTATCAAAGCGTTAGTTAAAAAGGGGAGCTCTAAAATACATGTACTTTGCGTACATAAATAAATACATTAATAAAACCGCCTATGAAACTAAGTAGATCTAGATTAACTTGTGTTACACAAATATCTCGTTGCATTCGCATATTTATCATTAGTGCGCGTATTTTAATAAGTATCTCAAATGAGAGTCAGGTACATATTATAATTTCGAAATTTCGTTCTGTACAAAATTATGCAAAATAAAGTCTAATTCATGGTGGAATAGATCAAATGCAAATTAAAAGACAATAGAGTATAAAAAAGGAGAAAAAAATATTGTATTTACTTTTTCGATTATGTCGTACTAAATTTCCTAAATATATCAACAATATACGATATTTTAATGTTCCCGTTGTATAAAAATTTATATAGGAGAATTTGGTAACTTTTTAATGCTAATTTTACATAAATATGTGTAACTACAATTATAAAATTCTCCTGGATATTATACAGATTAATGAATCAGTTGCATTTTTTGATAACGGTTATCAGACACGAAATCATAGGAACAATTTATTGATCACCTATCTAAGTAATAAATAAAATCAAGATGTTTCATATGTACAGATTGATAAGATTTGTCCGTGAAAGTAAGTATGAGACAATCGGTGATGACTCACCTGCTACAGAATCCTCCAAATTGACGGGAAATCCATGGCAAAGTTGAAAAAGCAACAGCCCTAAACACAAATTTAACCATTTCCAAGAAATTTCCATAATTTAAAACACTTTACCAGCATGGGGCACAAACAAATTATTTGCTATCACCGTTTATTTTGCGTTATCGATCGTTGGTAATAGATAATTTAACTTCCGTCACATCTTAATACACACAAACCACTCACTTTCGTCCAATTGTTTTAATGATCTTGAAGAAATTGTTAATGCTGCGGAGCCACATCAATATTCCTATTTTCGCGTAGAAATGACATTACTCTACTACAAATCAAGTTAGTTTTCTGACAGCTTCTCTGTTTTCTCTTGACATCTTGATAATTGGTAAAATATACGCTGCTGACCTCTGTTGGTAAAAGTTGTAACCTACTGTCAAAACTTAAGACAGAAATGTCAAGACCTGAAACGTTAATATAACCTAAAAAAATTGTATTTTTCGTAAAATTTGTCTTTTAAACAAAATATTAAATTACTCAAAATGGCTTCAACTTCAACAGTAACATCTACTAAAATGGAAAAAGCGAATCATAAAACTAAAGATAACGACTTAAAGGAAGCTGTGAAATCTAAAGATTTAGACGAAGTTTTGCAAAAAGTAACTGCTGTCGATACTGTGTGTTGTTTTACAAAATGTAAGAATCGCACGAAGGATTTTGCTATACAATGTAAATACTGTAGTAAAAGGTTTTGTACAACTCATGGGTTACCTGAAATACATGGTTGTGGCGAAGCAGTCCGAAGGGACGAGAAGCGAAAATTTCTACATCCCGACACGAAATTATCACAAGAAAAACACTCGCAGGCCCATACCAAATTATCTATGAAGCTAAAACAAATGCAGTTGGAGAGGAAACCTAAGCAAAATTTGTCAAATAAACAGAAAAAGTAATGTTTTCGCTAATTTGTTTTCTAATATTTAAAAATACATTAACTGAGCTTTACATATAAATAGCTGTGTCTGTAACTGAATCCTAAACATGTATATATGAAAATGAATTCAAATCACTGCCTCAAAATAGATATTTTGGAAAGGTACAATGTTAAAAACAAAATTAATTAAGAAAATATTTATTCAGATGTGAAAAATACTGATTTACATGTTATTATTTACACCGTATAATTGAATAACTAACTATCCTGAAATAATGGCATAATTTTAAGGTGCACTGTTAACAAAATGTATAAGAATGTTCAATTTTCAACCGTTTGTGCCACTTTACGTAATAAAAATTTAATACAAGGACTATCGTCACTGTAAACATATTGGTCATAATACATATAGGCCGGGTTTGATAGTAAAGGCTGTAAACTTTATTCTCAGTATTCCCACTACGAAAATGGGGCTTAAATTTAACTATTATATTTCAAATAAAGTTACGGAAACCTTGAAAAATAATTAATATCGCTTATCTATCGTTTAGCTTGACGGTAGAGAGCAATTTTATTTTAATAAAACGAACACAGTGTGTCTAATAAACTTTGGTTTCAACTTTGGTAACAACGAAGAGAAGACTTCCCAAAAATGATCATTCCGTATAGAACACAAGACAATAATTTGAATGTAATAGTGGTAAGAGAAGTATGCCAATAATAGAAACATCGTCACTCTTCAGTAATAGAAATGCTGTTACTCATCGGACGCAAACACTACATCAATTAAATTATAGTAAATTTTGTTAATTAAAATTTATACTCCGTTTATAATAAAATCCACGGTGACGAATATGATGCAAATTATGGACCATACAATTATAAACAAAAACCAGGAGAAGTGTTTAAAAGGGCTGGCGTACCTGTGATTACTAGATCCGAAGTCTTTTATGCAATGCCGCCTCGCGTAAAGCACCAGAATCGCAGGTACGACGTATTGTACTATTACACCGGCATAAGTGCCGGTTATTTCCACCAATCGTTTAAGGTTGTGCGTGCACAGGGCTACAACGACCGGAGGAACGACGGCGAGTGTCGGAAAAACCAGACGATTAACGAAAAAGTTCCGTCGGTCTATCGTCTGATCCAACATAAAATTCTTCAAGTTACTCTGCAGCGTTATCGCTATTATCGGGAAACTCGTCGACATCGGAAACAAAGGAAACGCCGCTAGGAAGAACCCGATTATCTTCATTAATAAACTGGAATCGTCCGTATAAATGAAATTAAGGGAATATAACACGTCTAGTTTTTCAAACGCGAACGATCCCGTCACGCACAGCAACAAATAAAACGAACAGATCAGGAAGAAATCGAAACTGACTTTTTTCGTAATTTGTTGCTTATCGGAAATAGGAGCTATTAAACCTGGCAACGAGTGGTGGCACATAAAACTGTAAACGCTGGAACCGGCTAAGGCAGGTACTTCTCGCAGATTTATCATATTAGGGTAACCTTGTTGTCCGTATGTAATCAATCTAATAGAGGCTAGAGTAACCATAACCAAAAAGGCGAACCATCTTATACTTATCGTGAAAAATTGTAAATATTTAGTTTTTTGAACATTAAAATAAGTAAAAGGACCTACCAGTAACGCGAAAATAGTAACGAATATTCTATACACGTCCATTTTTGTTAAGTCGTAAGACTTCCAACACTTCAAATTAAAATCCTCGGTATCACTGTCATTCTTACAACTAAGATTAACCAAAGTTTTCCCGGAAGCTGCCGTGTATATGGCTAGATCACCAAATAAGTAAACACAGAGAGACACAAAAAACAACATATGTCCAAATTTATTTAAATATAAAGCCGCTATTTCTCCTAATTCTACCTTTGTATTGACGTTATAATACCGATATCTTCTATTAACCCTAAGGATGGCCGTCTCCTCGGAAGTATTGTCAGTTTCTGAGTCTGTATCTAAGGGAACTTCACTCTCCTACAAAAGACATTAAAAATTTAAATTCGTCATTTATGTCACATTTTATTTAAAAAATAAAAATTTGCTTACATCGATTTTGTGAGACTGTATCCTTCTCCACTGGATAGTGGCATTTGCGCATGCCATACTCTCGATTACAAACGTAACAGTTACAAAACTTACAAAAGCCAGGAATATTAAAAGGAAGGTACTAAACAACCAGCCAGCTCCGGCAAAAGCAGCCGGTAGAGTTAATGCACCTGTTCCAACGATTAAGTTAAAGATATAAACAAGCCCCACCTGAAAAGGAAGTTTTTAACAACTTATTTAAAAAAATCATTTAAATAAACTTACCCATGGGGGATACTGATCTCTTTGTGGCATTGTGAAGAATGTAAACTTATTCGATATCTAATTTATATAACACAAACTTTTTCCTTATTTTAAAATTAGTCAGGTAAATATGTTACATTTTGATTTATCTATGATTCTTTGTCTTTTCCATATCAGTTTACATGTCACTTTTTGTTTACGTACTTAATGTTTTTGACGTTTATTACGTCATGGCCATGTTATTTGTACACGTTTAGCTTCTTCTGCCTTTTACATTTTGACATTTACAAAAATGCCTAGATCACTTTCGTTTTGAGATAAATTTGAAGTGTTTTCAATGTAAAAACGTAAAATATACTTTGTAACAACAAATGAGTTACAAAACACTTTTTTAATTTAAAGTTAAGACTACATCCGCCACTTGTTTCGATTATAATGATCTAAGGTCACTTGTAGAAAGTGTACGAAACACAAACGAAAGAACTCCTGTCCTGATCAGATACTCTGAGAAGAAGGAAACAACTTTAGTACTTTTTGTTTATCGATTGAACTACTCCCCGCCCTGCATAGGAGTTGTATGAAAAATAAACAATTTTGTAGTTAGCAATTTTGGGTTCATGGTATATTTTTTATTTATGCCATAATGAATTTGTATTATTCTTTTTTAATAATATTAATATGTGAGTATTTACAGCATATTAGCAAGATTTATAATACCTACCTTGCTGTTTTGGTTATTTAGTGCGCGTTTATCAATATATAATTTTTTTAAATCATGAGAACTACTGCAGTAAATAAATTAAATATTTAAGGTAGCAAAATTCTACCCCTGTACCTTAAGAAGGGATAAATTAGTTTGAATTTATTGCATGCAGTTCATAAACTGATGGATAATAATAATTATTGAGTAAAATTTAATTTTTAGGTTTCTTTATGGAAACCTGTGGTTCTCGTGTATTGGAATTAAGTGACAAATTCTCTGAAATAAGAAGGGAAGGGGGATATTGGTTGGTTAAATTTTATGCACCCTGGTGCGGTCATTGCAAGAGACTTGAACCCATATGGGCCCACGTGGCCCAAGCCTTGTACAAAACGAATGTCAGAGTAGGAAGAGTGGACTGCACTCGTTTTCCTTCAGTCGCATCGGAATTTGATGTCTCGGGTTATCCCACAATAAAATTGTAAGTTATTGAACAAATATATTTTTGTTTAGGCCTTTCGTTTCAATTAAAACAAGAGCTAGTAAATGTAGATCTGCTTTGTATGCTATTTTCAAACGGTCCCGTTACGTTATTGGTATAATTTTTGTATTTTAAGCATAAAACCGGATGCCGACTACCTCTTTCATGGCGATCGCACTAAGGACGACATAGTAAACTTCGCAATTAGGATGGCCGGGCCGGCTGTACAAGAAGTTACCCGTTCCGAAAGTTTAACAAACATTAAAAATATGAATCAGCTGTTCTTCATGTACGTGGGCAGCCAGGAAGGTCCGCTGTGGGAGATTTTTTATGACGCCGCCTTAAAGCTGCAACCTCACGGATTTTTTTACTCCGCAACAGAGGAGATCGCTAAACAACACGTAGACGTCGACGAATTGCCCGCTGTGTTCGTTTACAAAGAAAGCTTACATTATTTTTATTCAGGTAAGTTATATTTTGAAGAAAGTACGTCATTCGAGATCGAACTGAATTTTCAGTGGATTCGGGAAGCAGCGAAGAGAAAGCGGAACATTTAAATTCGTCGCTGTATAAGTGGATCAACGAAGAGCGCTTCGAGACGTTCCCGAAAATTACTCGGGGAAATATAAACGAAATTCTACAAACTAACAAGTACATCGTCCTCGTCGTTGTCGAGGAAAACAAGTTGCAACAAATCCCGACCGAAATGCTGGAGTTCCGAGACATGGTGGAGTCTTTGTTAAGAAAGAAAAGGGATAAATACCACAAGCACTTCCAGTTCGGGTGGATCGGAAGTCCGGAACTGGCGAATAGCATCGCCATGCAAGTCTTACCTCTGCCTTACTTGATAGTTTTGAATTCCACCACCTACCACCATCACGTACCCGAGGACGACCCTACCGAGATGACGGTTGATGCCATCGACGTATTCCTTGAACGGATACATAACCAGACCATACCGGTAAGTAACTTTAGGATATTATTTACACAATACCGTCGATTCTCTCAAATGAAAATATCAATGTACCGATTTCCGATGTTGATTTTTGCGATCAACTTGCTGCGAATCTACGTTATTCTAAAATCGTGGAATATAAAAAAAATTGTTTTGCTTTTTGAACCATCGGTTTTTTTAATGAAGATATTGAAATAATTGCGACTTGATTTCGACCAAAAATTCCCATTTTCGACCATCCTGACGTAATGATAAAAATTAGAATCACACAATTAACAACAAAGTTAAACGGAGAAAGGACTTTTAGGAGAAAATCTTCGGAATAAAGGAGTGAACGCCATTTTTATTTATTTGTCCTGACTGTTGCTTCAGTAAAATTTGTCAGCCGAATCCACCAGACATATACCGGTGGCGGCTGACGAATGATCTAAGCCGTTTCCTAGACTTTGCCAGTAATTCAATGCTCGTAGGGGCAATACCAACAGTCGAGAAGGAAATACTACTTATCCATTTTCTTATTCCTGCTCGAATTTTGTAAAATTAGTTGAGGACCGGTATTGGTCGGATGACGAGCGTAGCGACCCTACAATGCGATTTCTTTGATTTCAGGCTTATGGAGGAAACGGCATAGCTGTCCGCCTTTACAGAACGTACTTTGAAGCGAGTACCGCCTTAGCCGACATGTGGCGAGGGAATCCCGTGCTGACCACCGTGTTGTTTGGATTGCCGTTAAGTTTCCTGTCGTTTATTTTGTATTCGATCTGTTGCGCTGATATTTTAGATGCCGATGAGGAGGAAGAAGGTATGTTTTTTATTTTTCTATATAAATTTAAAATAAAATTAAGTATGTTTGGAGTACACGTTTTTGTATTCACCATTTTTGAAAAAATTTGACAAAAAATGTTGTAGAACTTTTTACAACAAAAATTTTGCATGACTTAATATATTAACTTTCAGATCTGCACGAGAAAAAAGAATAAATCAAAGACGACCCCCTTATTTTATACAAGCAGGTAAATAATTTATTAAAACGCATTTATTGTACATACTACGTAAGTTTTAAAATTAGTATCATCGCATACTTTGTATTTATGAATTATTGTTGTAAATAAACGTTACCTTAAGAGTATTGTTTTAAGCGGTTCCAAACTAAAATTACCCCAACGAAACATCCTAAAAACTAAAAGTCTTCATCATCAGAATCTAAGGCGGCTCTCCTACGATCAAACTTCACCGAAGTCTTGCTTTTCGTTTGACTGCTAACGTTTTCCAACAGTCCTATCAGCTCTTTCTCTCCTATCTTTGTGCAGATTTGCCCGGTTTGCGCCATTCTCAGTAACATGTTTTCAACCATCTGTCCCTTCTCCGGCTTTCCCAACATTAAGGTGTTCACTACAAATAATAATTGATGACGAAAATTGAAAGTATTACATTATACTACGTTCTTACATCTTGCTCGGGCCGACTGGTCCAATATCTGAGACAGTATAGAATTTTTTGCGTCCTCCTGTGCTCTAGCTTGCTCTTCCTTATGTTTCTGCGAGGCCTGATTCGATTCACCTCCCTGAAAGTTTAGGATCGTAGTACATTATAACAACTGTTAGGTTTCGTATACTTAACCTAACAAAAGTTTTATTTTAAATACCTGATATTGCGATTGTAGCTGAGCAAGTCTTTGCTTTCTTATTTCGTCTAATTCGGGATCTGCCATATTATCTAATGTTGGGTGATTGATAATTAAAAAATAAACTCGTACAAATTCGGGAAAAAGAAAAAATCACAAATTATCATTAATTATATTGCACATGCCCTTCGCAGTTCATAATTTCGCATATTCCACTAAGCGCACAAAAACAAGAACGACGACAAGAAAAATATCAGAAACAGAAATAAATGACAGAATTAGCACTAGGTCCACAGAACACAAATCCAGTAGTACACTTGAAAATTTCAAGGACCATAAACTTCAAATGTTTTATGTATTGTCGTCTGTGGGGCATTGTCTGTATTTTTGTTGTCATGGAAACCATTTATTTAAGTCAACAACAACAATTTAAATGAATCTCCAATTTCTACACAAATCACTTTGCTTCTAAATTGGAGTATTTGAATAAAAAAATTGATAAAGATTTAAGGTACTCTTTTAAATACACACCTCAAACGATAATGTCAATTCAAAGTGCAACACAAAGTGTAACGAATGAAACAAGAGAAGCTTTTAATTCGATATTGAAGGGAGCTATGTTAAAACCAAAGCAAATAGATAACAGCAAATGTGAGAATGCCTCGAACGAGAATTTATCCATAATTAGTGGTAACGAGTCAAACAAGTCCTTTTTACTGAAGAAATTTTTACAAAATTCTGCTGAAGAAGTGGATGAAAACAAGGATTTAGTCTTAAAAGCTTCCAGACCTATTCCCAAACCAAGAAAAAGTAAAAATAAATCACCTAAAGAAGTGGTCAACTCGAATAATAATAATAGTACGTCCAGTCAAAGAACGTACATTGTTGAAAACGATAATAAAGGAAATAATGAGGCAGTTGATTTTGTAGTGCATAACGATCCAGTGTTGTCAGCCGGAGAGAACTCAACCGATTTAGGTAAAACTTATGTAAAGAGTTTAAGTGATATATCAAAACATTCAGAGGAAATAAATGATGTGGTAATACATAAGGAAGAAAGTACGGATGATCGTGTATCAAAGGTAGGTAGTGAAGTGCCTAATGAAAAACCAACAAAAACAAAGAAAGTTGATGATAACAAAGAAACTGAAACTGATTGTAAATATAATTATGAGAAAATTGTGGACATAGTTATACACAAAACAGAAGCTCTTCTCTTGGATTCTTATGTCACACATCCGACAGTGAAAGTGCATATTGTCGACATCAACACTGGGAAATATTATTCTAAAAGCAGTAAAAACAGATCTGTTGTTTTCTATTATGAAAATGAAGAGCAAGATTACATTTTGCCGGTAATGACTGGCTCGTACAACCTACAGGAAAAAAGGTATGAAGATGAGTAGGGTAGTAAATTAAAAACGGTTGAAAATGGTATTTTGTATTATTTTAGAACTTTTAGTCCAGAATGGGAGGAATCGATTTTACTTAACGAAGACTTTGGTTATTTAGCAAACGAAAATGTAATTTTATTTTTTGAGGTGTTAGATTATGTGCCGTACATATCAAAAAAGTTCCAAACTCTACAAAAACGTACGTCTAATTATTAATTGATATTTTTGAAGAAAGTAAAATAATAAAAGTTCATATATCTTTTTAGATTGTTATAAGGGATGGCACAGGATAGCGTTTGCATTCCTCAAACCGGTAACAAGAGATCGAACATTAAATATGAACAAAAAAGTCAAACTGCAACTTTACTACCCAAAAGACATTAAAAAATGCAACCTTACAGAATGCGACTTATGGTACATATGGAAAGCTAATAAACTAAAAAAATACCCATCGGTTTTGTACGTAACAGTCAAAGAAGTCATTTCGCCGAAGAAAGTCATAGAAACATTTAGATCCAAAACTCCTTTACAGATAGAGAACATTTCTAAGCTCAGGGACTTTACGCGGAATCCTCAAAATATCGGAACTTCTGGCGTTACAGAAGCTTCGTCAGGAGTCAGATCGAAATGTTCCAACGATACTTTCGAATTACCAAATAAGCCCTTAGCCGAGTTGGATAGTTACGATAACGGCTGCTTTCTGTTACAATTTAGTCACAGCGGTTTGTTTTTGGCCTGCGCTGTGCAGGTCAAAGAATCGTTCGTTGTTATCGTGTACGAGGTGAGTTTATGTCTAACTGTATAATATACAGAGTGTCTGAGAAAACAGAGAGGTTTAACGATTCAAAATGCTCAGAAAATGAACAAATTGATTGTATTATTGTTATTTTTGTACTACCGTTTCTACTTAGGTGCAAAAGTTGTTGCTGGTTCATTAACGTTACTACAAATTAAAAATTGATTATATTATGTAGACCAATATCATTTCCGTCCCCTTTTAGGTGAGTTCTTTCGAAGAAACACAGTGCATTAACGAACATACGGGGCTGATATACAGCATAAACTGGTCTTTAGACGATACGTTAGTTTTGACAGCGTCAGCCGACAACACTGTAGTAATCTGGAATTTTTCTACAAATTCCTTTTTACAGGTACGACTTTGCAATTAAATAAAAATCGATTTCTATGGGGATGGACGTATATATTTGCATGTTTTGCGCCATTTTTTCTTTCTTAGATTTTACCTCATCCAATTTACGTGTACGCCGCCGACATAAACGATGATAACACAGTCGTAGCAACGGGGTGTTACGATAGCACCCTACGGATGTGGTTATTCAACAGAGACGAAGGAAAATACGAGTTACGACAGGAATTGGAGAAGCACAAAGGGTTCGTTACATCGGTTTGTTTTAACAGAAAATCGACACATCTGTATTCCTCGGATTTGATTGGTACGATTATTGAATGGTCGAAATTAGATAACTTCGACTGGCAATTTGAACGGTAAAGAATTTGAAACGTATAAATGCCATAATATGGCATAAAATTCGTGGTTTTCAGAGACATGTCCACCCCCGATTTAAAAAATACCGTAATAAACGAAATCCTCTTGTTCCCGAATCAAAAGAAATTGTTGGTGCACTCAAGGGACAGTATATTAAGGATAATGTCAATAAAAAGGGCCTGTGTGCTGTATTGGTTGCAAGGCGCCCTTAATTTACGGTATACGAGTTAATAATTTACTTCCTTGGAAATTATAAAGCCTATATTTTTTGCAGAATACAAACATTTTGCTCCATAACGACTTGCGGAAAGTACGTAACATCGGGCAGTGAAAATGGATTGGTCGTTGTGTGGGATGCTAAAACGGGCAAAGACGTCATGACTTACGAACCTTTCTTAAATCATCTTCCTTTAGAAACCGTGCACTGTGTAAGGTTTCATCCCGGAGATAATCTCATCGCTTTTTCTCACTACGGCAGCATATCTCCCATTTTATTATATCACCATAATGCCGGAAAAGAGGATGTGAAGCAAAATAATATACTTCACGATGATAAATTTAGCCCAAATGTGTCTAACGAAAAATCGCATCCGAAAGAAAACATTTCTTTCCATGACGTCTTAGTGAAAATGGATAAACTGTTAAACCATTGAGAATTCTCCTATTTAAATTTTAAAATGTTAATTTATATTTATAAGAATAGGTTAATAAATTTTACAATGATTATAATTATTGTTTAAGATTAATAATGGTGTTCCTTCTAAATTGAATGTGGGTATTCTGCCACGTTGTAAATTAAAAAGAAATCGCAGATTACTGAATTACTAAAGAAATACTTTGAGACGTGAGTCAATAAACTAACCTTACTTTGTAAAAAATATAAATATGCTCATCATGGAAATGTAGGTTTAAATTTCTTTTATCTCCAAATATATAAAGAGACAGTGATTTCTAATACACCTACTACTTATATTTTTATAACCAAATATAAACACAACAATATAAAAAAAGTAAATGTCAAATCAATGCATAAAAAACAATCATAAGATCGAATTTTCAAGAGATCGAATTCCTGTTTTTTCAAATATTAAAATAATTAGGCATTCAAACAGTTCTACTTTATCGACATATTTTTTTTATTGAGAAAAGATCTGTCAATGTTGTTCTTCGACCGTCAACCTATCCGAGTTTCTTTGTGAAAATTTTTTGTTTGCGATGGGTGATGGAAACGAAGGCGAGAAACAACCCCTTTTAGGGAACGAAGGTAGCACTTACAATGGGGAAGTCGCAGGTAAGGGACTTTGTCCACTTTGCAGTATATTATGGAATAATGACTCACTACATTTTTTATCACAGCGTTATTGTTTACAAAAAGCCTGTATCTGTTTTTTGTTATCTTTCCTTAGGACAACAGGCGACTGTGTCCCCAATCGGTCCAGATGAACTTCCTCCTCCGTTCTATCAACCGTCTGAAGGTGGCGGAGTCCCTATGGTGACATGTCGAGTATGCCAGGCGATGATTGATATTTCGGGAAAGCGCGATCAGCACGTTGTGAAATGTTCACAGTGCAACGAGGCAACGGTACGTTTGAAAACAGATATTTGAGACGAAAAAAATTCCATAGTATTTGATTAATATTTTATGTATATAGCAGCATAAAACAATCTTATTTTCTTCTTTACTAACTGCAACTAATTCCGGTTTTATCTGATTCGTCTAGCGTAACATATTTTGAACAGAAAGATTGTTTTCTTACTTAACTCAAAATACCACCAGAAGTTTACAAAATTTGTATTTCTTTGTCTATAAATAATAATTTGTTGTTGGACCCAAGTTTTGATGCATAGAAATCGACAATGTCCTTGTGATAAGATACAAAGTGTAATTCAAAACATTTAAATAAACAAACAATTTTCCGCAAAGTTTTATCAACGAGGTGTGCTAATCTGTTGGTCGTACAGGAATAAAACTGATAATGATTTGGCATACATTAAAAATTACAAAATAAAATAATATAAACTAATTTCTGGTGTTAAAAATAGTCTAGCTTTAAACAGCATTGCTATCATGTTGCGGTGAACTGAAAATTTTACTTTTTCTATTAATCCTAGTTAAAATTTCAGCAATTTTACTAGATTTCGGTATCAAATTGCCTTTATGCCAAGCAGCGCTATATATCTTGATTTATTCTTTTACATAAAATGTCCCCGTCGAGATCAAAAGGTTAATTTATATAATCATCTGCGATACATACTTATCTTTTATATCCTTTATTTGTCAATAGATGTTCCACTTAAATTTCCATTAATTTAAGACATCACAGCTTTGAACAAATTGAATTTAAAAAAAATAGTAAATACATAAATCGAACAAGAGAGTAATATTATTTCGATGCGTATGATTTTCTAGCCCATAAGGAATGCCCCTCCTGGGAAGAAATACGTGCGTTGCCCCTGCAACTGTTTGCTCATATGCAAAAGCTCTTCGCAGAGAATCGCTTGTCCTCGACCCAACTGCAAGAGGATCATCAACTTGGCACCAAGTCCCGTGACTCCACCTGTGCCAACGATGCCCGGCATGTGTCGGGTAACTTGTGGCCATTGCCATGACACGTTCTTGGTGAGTGTGGTTCTTTTTACTTAATCGGTTCTGTCGGCGGTAGTACTACAGTGCGTTTACGATTTAAAAATATGTAATTTATTACTAGGTCTTGTATTTCTACTTTATTTGACAGGTATTACTCGAATAAATTCAAAAGATTTATCCTAAAATACCATCTAAGCAGTCGTCAAAATGCAGAAATCTACCTTTCGTGACTATATTTAGTACTTTCCTTTCTTAAATAATAATTTGTATTTGTTTCTCTGTTTATTTTGTTATATTTAATTCTCTTCGATATTGTTTGTAATGAAATCTGAATATGTGAGCAGTTCTGCATGACATGGACATTTATCTTGTTTAAATAATTTCATTGATATAAGCCAATTGATAATACGATAAAGGACGTATTAGTTTTGTGTTGAACAAATACAAATCACCATTTTAAGATCACTTAGGGACTTTGTTCCTGTCTTTTATTTTCGGCCTGTACCTTTTCCAAAATGAAACTGTAAAATGGATTTTAAATTCTCCAATACAAAAAAAAAAGAAAAATGCATAAGTAAATAAACCAAATATACTAATGCAAACAATTAAAGGGTCAAACGAATTTCCGAAATTTTTCCGTGATTTTTGACAAACTGTATTTAAGTGGAAAATGGTCGTATCGGGAATTAAAAAAAAAGCATTTTGAAGCTCTAAGATTCTAGCTTTGTAGATCTTTCAGTCGAAATTTTTTAGGAGATATCTTGTTTATTCAGCTTCAATTTCCTTTTTTTTTTTTTAATTTCGATACCACCATTTTTCATCGAAATATCGGATTTTTAATGGAACAGGGTCGTTTTGTCTACAACCATCGATATCTCAACGATAAATGGACATATGGAGAATTGCTGCCGCAACTTTTCGGGAAACATTTTTTTTTCATTTTTTCCAAAAATTTTAAAAATAGGAAGAAAAAGGTAATTTAAGGTTTTTTAGGAAATTGACGGCTAAATATTCATGAAATGACTAATTCTAACCATGACCCATGAAGTTTCATCTCGATCTAGCAAACTGTTTCCTTGTATCAAACTGTCAAACTTTAAAAAAAAATTGAAGGGCCACGTTTTTTGAGCTTAAACGCTTCATAATCATGATAAAAATGGAAAAATTGTTTTTTTTAATTTTTCGTTTTTTTTTGTTTTTTTTTTAAACCTTCCGGATATTGAAGAAAACAAAATCCAATTGTTTCCAGCACAATTCGGCTCTTTTGTCCTATGCTTCTGTTCATCAACTTTTAATTAAATTAAAATAATTAAAGTTGACCCAAACCAGAATTCGACCCCGATTCATACCGTTTTTTGAGACACATTTCTAATTAATTTATGTGCAGTCTGTAATCACTTACAAAAAGTTTTTTTCAAAACCACCATTTTTCTTTGAAAAAAATTAAAAAATTTTTTTCATCAATTTTTGCGGTGAAAATGTGAGAAAACCTCAAAAAAATTATTTTTTCCATTTTAATCATGATTATGAAGTGTTTAAGCTCAAAAAACGTGAACCTTTAATTTTTTTCAAAAGTGAAACAGAAACGATCATTAGATCGAGATGAAACTTCACAGGGTTCTTCTGGGTATATTGAACTGTAAAAGTCATGCTTAACATTCGTCATTTCATGAATATTTCTAATTTAGCTGTTAATTTTCTAAAAAACTAAATTACTTTTTTTACTGTTTTTTAAAATTCATGTAAAAGATGAAAAAAAAAAATTTCCGAAAAGTTGCGGCAGTATGTTATAGAAATTTTATTCCAGTTTTCGAAACTGCCCCTCAATTCTCTGTACAACAATTTCTGGCCGAGATATCGATGGATGTAGACAAAAGGACTCTTCTCCATTAAAAATCCGCTATTTCAATGAGAAATGGTCGTATCGAAATTAAAAAAAAAGGAAATTGAAGCTGAATAAACAAGCTATCTGAGCCATGCAATGACTTAGCTGAAAAAAATTCTTCCAAGTCAGTGGACTGCAAAAAAAAAGGAAATTTGCAAAAAAATTTTGTCGCGCTATTTCTTAGAATTGCATGATAACGGTGGCTCCTAAAAAAATTTCGATCAAAAGATGTAAAAACTAGAATCTTAAAGCTTCAAAATGCTTTTTTTTTATATCCCGATACGACAATTTTTCACCTAAATACAGTCCGTCAAAAACCACGAAAAAATTTCGGAAATTATTAATTCTTTCGACCCCTTTAATTGTTTGCATTTAGATATTTATTCCAATAATTGATATTTATTTTTATATCACTTATCTCGTTATATCACTAAATTTGGAATGACTTGTCTTCAACATAGATTAAAACAGTGCCCACTAATTCTGCATTGATGTAAACAATAAACCACGGTAATAGGAGTGCTATGAAAACCACAGTGATACCGATAGGCGTTTGTCAAATTAAAAAACTTTAATCTACTATATTCAGTTTTTATTCAGTTGGAGAGAATTATTTTAAATCGAATCCAAATTTTGGGAATTTTGAGCTATATCTCGGCTATTTCAAGAGCTATCGAGTTGAGATTTGTTCCTAAGGGACGAATCTAATTTCTCGAAAACTACCAAACTTGTATTAATTCTTGAACTATATTATATCGATTTTTTTAACTATGTGATACACAAAAATATATTTACCAATCTCAAACACCGACCAATGACGTGGGAGATGCAGCCGACTTGAAAACTTACAGACATCCATTTCTGTTTCAGTTCAACACGTTAAATAACGCACTGGCCCGTTGCCCCCACTGTCGGAAGGTCTCATCCGTTGGACCGGACTACGCCAGGGGCAGGGGAAACATATTTTTCATTTTGACCATAGTATGCCTAATCATCGGTATCGGGGTGACCGTAGGGACTCTGACTTACGCGAGGAACCACAGCGGGATTTACGTAGCTTACGCCGGGGCCTTCATCCTGGCGATCATAATGTTAGTCCGTAGCTTGTATTACTATTTCATGAAAGTGAGCATCATAGAAGGACCCATGTAATGGGGCCGATGCGCCGATGTATTTTTTTTTTAACACATAGAAATATGCTTGTAAATAATTTATAGAATGATAATCGATGTGTTTGTATGTGTTGTTTCTCTTTACGGGCGTCTTCTATTCAGACGTGTTATCATCTATACAGAGTGATTCAATAACAATGGGAAAGTCGGAAGCTGAAGATACTACACGTGAAATGGTGAGCATTGGCGCGAACGTGCCTTAATCGAAAGGTGATAGTTTAGGAGATACAGGGTGTTGAAAGTTAATATTTTAAATCGTTTTTTTTTGCGGTTATTCTGAAAATATGTAGGCTAGAAACTTGAAAATTTGTGAAACTATATTGTTTTAGGCGACGAATATGATGCGTGTTGTAATTTCAGCGTTGCTCGTAGAGGGCGCCACTTACGACCAATTTTACCGGAAATTTAATTAATAACTTTTTACCCTGTATATTTAACATGAAACTTGATTCAAAACCTGAAATTTTTCCATCAATTATGTACTCTTGTTTCATTTCAGTATCTCGATCCGTTTTCTGAGAGATCTTTGAGTTTGAAACAACATATTGGGGTTGCGTCTGACTTCGTTGGCAGCGATTTGTATTATTTGCCACAACTCTTCACACGAGCCAGTAGATTCTTTGTAAACTATATCTTTCATTCGAGACCAAATAGAAAAATCAAGAGGATTGAAGTCCGGACTTCTGGATGGCCAAGCAAAAATGCTTAGAGGGCCAATCCAGCGATTTGGAAAACTGCATCTAAATATGCACGCACTGGCCGAGAAAAATACGGTGCAGTTCCGTCGTGCATGAACCACACGTCTCTTCTTAAATAAAGTAGAACTTCTTCAAGCTGTGGAAGCATTTTTGCTTGGCCACCCAGAAGTCCGGACTTCAATCCTCTTGATTTTTCTATTAGGTCTCGAATGAAAGATATAGTTTGGCCCGTGTGAAGAGTTGTGGCAAAGAATACAAATCGCTGCCAACGAAGTCAGACGCAATCCCAATATGTTGTTTCATACTCGAAGATCTTTCAGAAAACGGGTCGAGACACCGAAATGAAAAAAGAGTACATAATTGATGGAAAAATTTCAGGTTTTGAATCAAGTTTCATGTTAAATATACAGGGTAAAAAGTTATTAACTAAATTATCGGTCAAATTGGTCATAAGTGGCGCCCTCTATGAGCAATGCTAAAATTACAACACGCATCTTATTCGTCGCCTAAAAAAATATAGTTTCACAAATTTTCAAGTTCCTAACTTACATATTTTCAGAATAATCGCAAAAAAACGATTTAAAATTTTAACTTTCAACACCCTGTATCTCTGAAACTATCAACTTTCGGATAAGGCATGTTTGCGCCAATGGTCGCCATTTCACGTGTGGTATCTTCAGCTTGCGATTTTCCCATTGTTAATGAATCACCCTGTATACCGTCGATTATTACTTTCCTGCATATTTCTTACATTTCGTCTCTTATACGGCGATATTATGAGATCGTACATGTTTTAATAAGTATAGTTGAGATTTAACGTTAAAATATATAACCATATTACTACATACGAGCTTTATGGAGGGGAGGAAAGCTTAAAGTGGATAACGGATGTTAGGGCAGTCGTGTTGTATTAAATAGTCGTATCTGATTTTATATCGATTGGTTTCATTCTTACTTTAAATTACATTCCTAGGTAACGTAAGAGCAATGTTATTTTGTGTGTATATATATTTAGGCTGGTCGTATTATTGTGAATTTTATTTCCGATTCTTAGATTTATTATACATTTAAATAGACTGTGTGAAAGGCAAGTGATAAATAAAGTATTTTTAAACAAATACTCCAGTTGTTTGACTTCGTCGATCCCGACAAGACAGAAAATGGGAAGTTTTAAAAAAAACATCTACAGGGTGTTTCATAACTCTACCGACACGGATCGGGCAAGTGGGAGGTACGATTGAAGGGACCGGCCTCTGAAGAAGAGTGTTAAATTTTGAAAAACAATAATATTTCAGCAATGCCTCAACAAAATTTGGTACATGATTTGCGTTTCCGAGTAGACGGATAGGACGAGGAAACAATTGTCCAAAAAATGGGCCGCCAAGATCACCAGATCTGAATAATGTAATTTCTTTCTCTGGGAGGCTTTAAAAGAATTTGTTTATTTTACACCGGTTGCAGTGCCATAAAATATGACCCAGTTATTGCTCAGGGTAGGCTTTAATTTTCGGCGGAAGGTAAATTTACGTATTAGCGAAAATGGTGGCCATTTTCAACAGTTATCATAATGCCATTTAACGATATCGGTAGTTCATGTGGTTAAAAAGTTGAATTAGTTAATGTTTTGTTTGTAGTAAACGACATTCAACTTTTGTTTTAATAAAAAAAATTTATATCGATCTAGATAGCCGCTGTCTCTGTTCAAGGTCACCGAATCCTGCTGAAAAAGATCAAAATTTGAAGGACGAGGGAAAGGTTAACTTGATATTTGAATAAAAAATTAAACTAATACCTGTAAAAAGTTAAATAGGTACATTTATTTTCATCACAGTAATTACAAAAAAATATACAAAACGGTACGTATTATATACGTTTGTGTATTACATACCCAATAAATAAGTGAAATTGGTCACATTTATGTCTACTTATATATATTATATATGTATATAAAAAAATAACAGCTAATAATAGGATCAACGGATACATATTTCAAATAAATCTTTCGTGCTAACAGCAATTTTTTTTCCATTAAATGCATTGAAAATTAAACTAAAAAAAACATGCATTTTTACCCCGAAACCTAAACGCATAAGCATAAAGCTTTATTACTAACAAACCCAACAGAAGTATGCATTTTTTGCAATTTTTTTTTAATTATGAGTGACCCAAACAATACAAAACCTCTTTGTTGTACAATAGATATCAAAATTGGTGAAAAAATACTTTATTTGTATTTATATAAATAATTTTTTTTTCAGCTGACTAGGAAAACAGTAAATCGATTATTAAGGGATTAGACAACTAAGCAAATGGTGTTGTAAATCTCCAACCATTTATGACACGTTAATTAAAAAAAATATAATATTAATTCGTAACTACGCCGCTACAATGTTTACAGCAAATTCTGGTCTACCTTGGGGCAACACATACAAGTATACAGGGAATATCTAAATATTCATATATTAATAGTTTTATACGGGCAAAAAAAAACAGCTTTCATGGGTGTACATATTCTAAATATGGTTAACAAAAATAGCACAATAAAAATAATTTATATATTTTTCAAGCACTCGACCCAACACCACTTACTCGCTAAGGCGTTCGCCTTAGTTATTTTTACCGTACGTATCTTTATTTTGGTATCCACTCACGTATCCTGACATATCTGGAATATCGTGTGACCCATCGAGACCTTTACCTTTTCCTGTTTCGTCAAAACGTTGTTTGTGCAGCCCCGTGTATTTGGAGGTGTCGGTCAAACGGTTCACTGCGCCTGTCGACTTTACAGGCTGAAATCATTTTGAAGATGTAATTGAGCCTTTTGAAAAACTTAAATTAACAATACTTGTACAATGCAATACGTTTTACTCAATTTTATTTATCTAAGATCCAAGAAAAGTAGGGTTGTGGTTGTAGGAATTACAAGCAATTTTTCAAATTCCCGCCTGGGGCTTGATTTTTGAAAACAGGAGAATTAGTTCATTAGAGAAAATTACGTCATTTTCTCTTGACACACGAACGCGCTCTGGTGCTGAATTTTAAAATATATTAGGAACTGCACATGCGTCACTGTCCGTATGCGCATGCGTACTTACAAAAGTCCAAATGAATCATTCATTGCTTTTGTTGTCTATGTCTATTAATGAGTCGGTCGAAGTAAAGAAAAATGATGTTATTTTAATAAAAAGTTTAAAGTATTAAGTTTAATTTTTGTGCCAACCAACACAAATTCTCCTTCCTTATTTAATGTAACAGCTTCCACAGATTCAAAGTTTAAATACCCTATTTTTAATTCTCTCTGGCGGGAAAGTGAATGAAATATCTACGTGAAATTATAATGTGTCGTTCATTTCGCAAAGTGTTCCGATATGATGTTTATCATGCGTTTAAAGGTGGTTAAAATGGCGTGTAAGTGTAAAAACAGTGAAATGCGCCACAGGAAATTGAATTGACGAAGGTCCTTTTCGGTACTTACTCCAACTCCATGGTGTCCTGGAGGGCCACAGTGTGCCAGTTTATTTTTGGTATCCTCCAAATCCAGCTTCTTGTTTTTGGCCAGGTCTTCCAAAAACTTGTTGTAGTCGGCGATCCCCAGTTTCATGGATTTTAGTTTTTTGAAATAAATGCCCGTGTCTGTCGTCGTAATCTTCTTGCCGTCTATCACTTTGGCCTGTTTCATCCATTTATCGCTATTGGAGAGATTGATCTGCTTTCCGTCCGATTTTGGGTCGCCGAACTTTGCGTAGATCTTGAAATTTTCCTCGAAAGGTGACCCACTACCATTTTCCGACATTTTGGATCTAAATGTAACAAATACAAGTAAGTACTGTCCATTTCAAAACAAAAAGAAAACGAGTAATAATTTTTCCTAAAACGATTTTCCTCAAAATTTTGTTATCCTTCTATGTAAGTGAAATACAGCTTTCCAAGATTCTATGTATGTACATGGAACTCCAACAGATTCTAATAGAGTTCAAAAAACATATATGTAATATTATAAATCAGTGCAGTCATATACATTTTAATATGTGCCGAAATATTAGAATACCCTGTATATCATAATGCGATAAGTAAATTCAGGCACTATTTTTGAAAATTTATATTTATTTTTGTATGTTGCAAATTATTGAGGATATTGAAAACAAGCTTTCATTCGATATTTTAGTTGGATATTTTTAGGTGCAGACGTTGAAAGAAAAGTAAACTTTTCACTCGACAATGGAATGTTGGACGGTCTATAATAATATTTTGTTTTGACTGTAATGTGAAGCATGAATGGAAAATCGTTTTTAGTTAAATTAAAAATAAAAAACTAATAAAACTAAAATTCTAAGAGTAAATTTAATACTCAAAACAAAAGAGCAAAATACGTCGATTTTTCCGATGAAAGGGCCATAAATTTTAAAATTCTATTAATCTCCCTTCCAACTATTATAAATATACCTAATATGAATAATATAAGCTTTGTTTCATTCCCTCTCTTATTTCGTTGGTAGAATTAGGCGTTATCCTCGTCATTTTTATTATTCAATACCTTTGTAGGCGGCGACCCTGTGACTCAATAATCTATTTCCTTTTCCTACAACCAAAATCGGTGGACCTTCTAATTATTATTGTCTAGATTTGTTTTACATTAAAGGATATCGGTAACTGTGATTCCATTTTAAATTTCCCGCAATGTACCATGACGTGTTGTATTGAAACATTTGAATATCTCGTGTCAAGTCACTATAATAAGTACCTAATGGACAATGGTTCTAAAAGGACGCAATATTTTCATGTACAAATTGAGTTTTAAACCTTCCAAAACTTGTTAGGGTTATACTAGTTTAAAAATAGTGTCTCTATAACAAGGAAAGTATGCCAAAAGTAGTTAATTGGGTTATCCTTGTAGATATAAAGATCTTAAGGTATCAAAATGTTGGTTACATTTAACTTTAATGTGAATTTTTTACATATCTTTTGTTTCCAAACATTAGTCACAGTTATTATTTATTTGATTTGATTGTGGAGAAATATTAGATTTTATTATTGGATGATACTGATGATAGGTACGTAATTTATAATAACGCTAAAAGAGTAATCATTCGTAAGTATACTTGTGAAGATAAAACTTTCATCCACTTTAAAAAAAAATATACACACTCGTCATTGAGATATACGACACAGGGACGGTTTTAGAAATATTTGAGAAAAAAAGATTTAAAAGTATCGTAAATGTTAGACTAGATTTTATAAAATAACTACAGTGGTATACGAAAATGATTCAAGTATATATACCTACAGGATGTCCAATAAATGGTGGACAATTCATATTTGGGTACCTAAGTTTTGTAAAAAATATAATTATAATTATATCTACGAGTACAGTATTTTTTCCCTCATTTTTTTCCCACATTATTGGTGATATTAATTTAGTACGAAAAATAGGCTGTACTTGTAGTACTTGTTTGTTATTGACAAAATTAACTGTTGTCGAGCTAAACATGAGGAAGAAGTATCTTCTTTTTTACACGTTACGTTTTGAAAACTTAAAACCGATAAAACTTTTTAGATTCAAATAGAACACTCTGTATTTCGTACATTCTCAAGAATATTGCATTAAAAATATAATCAAATGTGCCTTGCGACAGACAAATATCGGTATTAGATTTGTTGCGCCACCGTATAAACTAAGCCTATGAAGTAGCTACACATTTCCTATTTTTACATATTAGAAATTTCAAGGTGATAATAATGTTATCGATGATATCATTCTTATTTTTTGAACAACTATTTTACATTTACAAAGACGATAAAAATATTTACCCAAAAGTGTAGCGAGTTACCTCGATAGTTTCCTGTAATGTATTTATTTCTCTGTTTACTTCGTATATGGATGAAAATCTAAATTTGGCAATTATGTAATATTTACAGACCCGTAGACCTACCCAGTGTCGGAATGATGTAATGCAACTAAAATAAATGCATAAATTTCACTACATCAATGCATGATTAACTCATCCAGTTAAAACATTATTTTTGTAGTATCATTTTTAAAAATATGTTTCGGAAACATGGTTTCTATAAATACAGAACCTGTAATATATCCAATATTAAAAATAATATTATAGAGACGGTCGTCATCTCCGAAAATAACATAAAAAAGGGGATTACGGCTTCTACGCCCCTTGGGGGTGTTACAAAGAGTACGCAGAGTGCGCAGTGGGCACTCCGACAAATCGATATCGGGGCCAAAAATTATATTATACGTTTTTTACTCCAGAAAAATAACTAACTATTAAAACATTATTCCGCTATCTACACGTTTTTTGTTAGAAAAAAAACACTTTTCTTATATCCCTGGGAACGTACTGGAAAATATGCATATACTTATATCTAATAAAATAATTTGGAAAGTTTTGAAAAATTCTACTCAATAATATCTATTACCTGTATGCTCAGAGTATATTCACTATTTGTATCAAACTATTTCAAACTTAAAAATGCTTTGAATCACCACCATAGACACTGCACGTACCACAGGCTGAAGCTAATACCCAACTGCTGAAAATATAGGTCAGCCTACACAGATATCTTCCTGCGATTCCTGCTTATCTCCCGCAGTTTTCTACGCTGCTGCTACTGCTACACTCCACAGTCGCTTCCGAAAGAAACTATGTACCTATACACCGCGGCTGTATCTAATCGCGCTGCTTTCGGAGTACGTGTATGTAGGCAAATTAAACTTGGGCGTTCTTGTCCTTTGCCGGGTATAATCGCAATTGTAATTCCTAAAGGGTGGCTGTGAGTCATAATGCGGAACTTGGCGTACTATGACTAGCTATAATGTCAGGGTCGATAGACTATTATAATATTAATTTAGTAATGCCCACATTACTTGATGCACCTAAATAATATTAATTAATAAACAGTATGATTATGCGAAATGTTCAAAGGGAACAGAGGGTGTTGAATTCGTTGAAAGGAATAGTTTGACAAACTGTGAAAGATTATGAGAAAGCTGAGAATAAACAAGTGAAGATTTCTTGACAGTTTGCGTTTTTGAATACACATGTCAAGTTGGCCCGTTTACTTTTGTTAAACATTTTCTTTTCTTAATTCATACATCAAACTGTATTAATTCTACTTTTTATCAAGACAAAATAAATATAGCCAATTATAAAACGAATGGGTAAATAGGTACATAAATTATTTTTCCTACACCTAAACTTTATTTTAAAAAATTTAAAAGAATATAGGTACTGAAAATTTTTCGATGTGCAAGTTGATCGAATTTTACGTAACTTTTCCTTGCAAAATTGAATTAGATTTTTTGAAATTCTTGGATATTGAATGTTTGAACTTCTTTTCTGACACTTCAAATAGAAACATTATTATTATATTATACTTCAAAATAACTTATATAAAAAATTCAGGCAAAACCTTTTGGCAATAAAAGTACATAAAGAGTCCAGTTAGCAGGGTTTTTACTTCCGAATTCTTTATAACTGAACCGATTGACGTGAATTTTGGCTGAATGTGGGGAATACCTCAAGGAACAAAACTTATATAGTGCCAAAGTGTGCTTTTACCCTGGGGGTGGTTCCGACCCCCTCTTGAAGGTGGAAATTATTACGCCCAAAATAACCACATGAATCGATAGAGCAGTCAATTTTAAGTAACAAATGTTATATAAAGTTTTTTGGATAATCTAATACTTTCCGAGTAATTCGTCATTGAAAATGTTGCTTTTTTACTGAAAAAGTGCTTGTTTTCGGACAGTTTTTTGCAAATAACTCTGAAACCATTGGATTTAACGGAAAAGTTGTAATGAACAAAGAGAAAGGTAATAAAAAAACAAATCTAATGGCATAATTTTGTTTTTCTCTAATTGCAATATAAACCGAGTTATGGATTTTTAAACATTATTATATGTTATCTAAAAACTAAATTGGAACCAGTTAACGTTAAATAAAGCCAAAACCATAAATATTAGGAAAAAACTATTTGAACCTTTTTTAAAGTACTTTGAAAAACTTTTAAAAGTCTTTAGAATCAAAATTAACGGAAATATGATCGAAATAACATGATAGTCTCATTTTTTTAAAGAAAAAATTAATAAACAAATCAGTGCCTTTGGTGACAGAATTAAAATTAAATGCAATCCATTTACAGATTTCTTCATTTATGTTCTAAGAATATGTTCTGGGTCTTTGGCTGACTTACAAAGCATGATTTCGAAAAAAAACTTAATTTTTGAAAATGTTAATTATTCAAATTTTTAAAAAAAAATCGATTTTTACGTTGTAACTTAAAAATTAAAGGGTGTACGAAAAAATACAAGAGTAAAAAAATTTAGCTTTATTTTTGCTGATGATTTTGCTTATTTTTATTATTCCTCTAAAATTAATATTAATCGAGATATCGCCATTTTAAGTTATCATATGAATGAGAGAACCACCCTTTTCGAGCCCTTTAAACCCTTCAAACTTAAAAATTAAGGGCTTAAAAAAGATCAACTCAACAGTTCACGTAGCCCTTACAATTCCCTGAAAAATGAGTATTTGTGCGATTAAAAATCTTAAAAAGTAAGAAAGTTATCGTCAAAAAAATAAACACTGTATAGGTGATAATTTTAGAAAAAAATATATAAATAAATATAAGGGGTAATTTTTAAGAGTTGAAAAGTTGCAATCAATTCAAAATTATTTTATAAGAAAGGAATAAATGTTTATTTAATACGAATGCACATTTAAAATGTTTCTGCTCCTTCAATAATATTTTTTCATTTTATTTTCAAAAGAAGGGGTATTTTTCAAGGGTTGAAAAGTTGCAATCGATAGAAAAGATTTTTAAATAGACAAATCAATTTTAATTTGATAAAAATGCATGATTAAAACCTTTCAAGTTGAAAAATTTTTTTTATAAAATTTTCATCCAAAGGGGTGGTTTTTAAAGGTTTTTCCGGGTTGAAAATTTGGGATATATGCTAGATAGCACATGAAATTACTCATACTGCATAAATAAGAAAGATTTGATTATATAAAATGCTTAAATTTGTATTTTTTCTTTTTGTTGAACATCCCATGTGGCAACATTGCATCGTCGTGTTTACAGAGACTCAGCGGTGCGGTGTTTAAAATCTCTTCTTATTTGAGAATAATTTTGTAGAATTTTATCTGCCTAATATATTCACGTTATTTGAAATTGAAATATATATTAAAAAAGTCATACCTGATCTGGGATTGAACCCACTACCTCTCGCATGAAAGGCTAACGCGCAGCGCTTTGCACCACTAGACCACAATTTCTATTTGTTCAAGTCGTGGCTTATATAGGGTTGGTATATTTTGAAATACTTAATTTGTAATTACTTAATGTATTATAGTATAAAAATTATAACATTATGTAAACAAATTAACTATATATTGAATAAATATATAATCAATCTAAAAAAGGTGATACAATTTTTGCTACCGTTTCCAAATTGCAAGAAATTTGGGACAGGACGCTGCCTGAAGAGTGCGAGGTAAATACAATGCTTGCCAGAATTAAAACTTATTATTTGTTCAAGACACCTTGTATAACAGTATTAACTTACCAAACAGTACATTGTGTCATTTCTAAATATAAATGTTTGCTGTTATGCACACAACACAATGGAATAATTTCATGCAGTTTTTATCGTCTTTGGACAGCGTGGATTAAAGCAGATACTTTAACATTGATTTACTTTTGTATTTTTGAACGACTCGATATACAGGGTGTGAATACTTATACCCATATACAGAAATGTTTAATAAAAAATTATATAACCATTTTGCAAAACCTTTAAAGGCCACAATTACTTTACAACAAAAAAAATCGTATTCATTCATTATAGCAGGTGTAAAAGGCGTGCTAAAGGCATGTTCAGCGCGATTTTTCACGTGCGTGGTTTTCTGAAATGTATACATATGCCTACAATATGTAATGCGACACGTATGTGTAGGCTTCCATGGTCATTATCCATTAAAGTTTTGCTTCATCCGGGTGTATCAGTAGGCGTATTTTTTTTTATAATTCACCGCCCCGTTTTGTCGCGTCTTCGGATGAAATCTGAAACTAATCTTCGAAATCTTCTGAAGAAGCTGGCTTTGATAAGTCACGTCAAAAAAATACGTCGCCGATCACCGCAAAAAGAGAGCACTTTGCGTTAGAAATAATAATTTCCATATGACTCTATGACTGTTGTATAATATATCGATTATAAAATCCACATCTTTGTTAAAGCTGGCAATAACACGCTTTGTTTGTTGCCTATTATTGTTCTTCATACCATGTGGCCTCTTGTATTAATATTTTTGTATACTAAAAAGTGACAACCCACTAGGTAGACAGTTAACTACACTTTTGAACCGTACAACACAGTCTATAAGCTTCACGATACGACTTATGGTGCTAATTGTCACCAACAACGCGATCGCCATTCCTCGAAACGTGCCTTAGTTTCCATTTCCGGTCCGTTCGGACTATCTCGACGTTTCGCGTGTAATACGCTTATATAAAATGCAGTTCATTTCCCCTTACAACGTGCCCCGCGCTTCGCTAATCCAAATAGGTGGTCGCCGCGTCCTCTATTGTGCCTCTCGTCCGCATTTCAGCCGTATACACATTTAATTATGGGATCTCTTGCCGGGCTAATGAAAAGAACAATAGGGGTGGCGATGGATAGCGAGATATACGCGGGTATATCGCGCATACCGCGCGTCTGTTGTATAATGGGAAACGTTGATTAGTTTCCCTCGGAAGGGTCCGTTACATGTTTTAAAGCGAAAATTAAGGCAATTAGTGGGATAAACTATGAAGAATCATGGTGGTTATTTTTCAGAACCGTGATATCAGTGTTTTTACGCATGCTTTATAGAAAATTATTGTCACTTCATTTAATTTCTAAGTGGAAAAAAAGAAAGATTTTCCACTTGATTTTTCGCCCTCGTCAGAGACTATTGTTCCGAGCAATCGGGTCAAGAGCACCTCGTCTCGTCGTCGATGCCCCGATTCGAAAAGGAAATGTTTAGAATAACCGGAACGACACAGTGGTTTTTAATTACGGCTCGAGTGGAACTCGAGGAGGACGGGAATTAAAGTGTAGAGTTTTTAGACCGCGTGCAGGAACAATTATCCCACTCGACGCGTCCTCCCACAAATACCTCGCCGTCGTCGAGATATTACAATCTCGGCTCTCCTCCGTAATGACGTTCCGGGAGTCCTAAATCAAACGGCGCTCGACTCGCTCTCCGAAACTTTTAATTGTGGACCGGATTTGCACGGGGCGCACTCCGGGCAATAACCCGAGATGCATACGTTATTTAAATGTTTCGACGCTGTTTCCCGGACTGCCGCAGAGGTAGACCAAGCAAATTAAATTTTTACTCGAAAAAAGTCCTATCCGCGAGATTATTGTAAAATTGTCTAAAAAGGAACATAATACAAAACATCTCTCATCTCGTGAGTCAAAAACTTTTATGACCTCACAAATAAGTGAGGAAAACAGTTTTTTCGCGAATGTATAAATCATTACCATGGAAAATACTTTACAGCACTATTTCTCTAAACTGACAGATAAATAGGTCTTAATATGCAACAATTTATTTTTTATTGTTTTTGATAATTCTTCAAAATATGCCAATA